TTTGGGGGGCGGTCCCCGCCCGGGGGGCCGTATGTTTGACATCCCTGTACTAGAGTATAAACATGGCTCGCAATAGTTAAGCAGCAAGTATGCTCACGCTGGTGCGAGCTGAGTGGTTCGAGGCTGCTAACGAGCTGCCAGACAGACAGTCTAATCATGTTGCCACAACATTTGTGAATGTCAGTGCTCTTCAACATGTGGGCGAGGGGTCGGGGTGGGGGGGTGGCTTGGCACAATTGGACAATCAATGGGAAAAGCAGTACAAGCATCCTGGCGACATGGGAGAGTGAGCAGTGGAACGACAGTTCAATGTTGTGCATCAATGGTCACTTTTGAAGCTTACCTGATTTGTAAATCACAACGCATCTACTGGCCCAATTGGAAAGATCATTGTGATGAATGTTTAAAAGAGAAGCCAAGCTACACTAACCAGATAAGAGCATATTTTTTTAATATTCTATTTCAGAAGAATGCGATTGCTAGTCTTCCATCCATCCATCCATTCATTTTCTGATCCTCTTTTCCTCACAAAGGTTGCGGGACGTGCTGGAGCCTATCCCAGCTTTCTTCGGGCAGTTGGTGGGGTAACCCCAGAACTGGTTGCCAACCAATTGCAGGGCACACATAGATGAACAACCATCAGCGCTCACACTCACATCTAGGGACAATTTAGAGTGTTTCATTAACCTGCCATGCATGTTTTTGGAATGTGGGAAGGAAACTGGAGTACCCGGAGAAAAGCCACGCAGGCACTGGGAGAACATGCAAACTCCACACAGGAAGGCCGAAGCCGGATATTTTCTTGATTTCTTTTGTGACAGTTTGATGTTATTACTTTGTTTTTCATTGTTAGTTATTGTATTTTGTCTAATTAATTATATACATGTAAATTACCTGAATTTGCTTGTGTCTGGCCAGAACCTCCTATTTCACTATTTGGTAAATTTCATACTTTTTAACAAATCTATACTACTAGTCAGTGTGCAATTTTTTTCCAAAATATCAACCAATCTCTAATGTTGAAAATGGCTCGCTCTATTTGACGATGCAATGTTAACAGTCGAACCAACATGTCGTTTTTCTTGTTTTTGGTTTTTTTTTAGGTCTCCTGAAAAGTGATGATTTTGGAGGTACGATGATTACGCCTGATGCTAGGGAAATGTTTCTCCCACTTCAGGCCTTGAAGTTCTCCAAGTGCATGAAAACATATCAACATCAAGCCCGTGTGCAGGTGTGTTGTTGACCACATTGAAGCATTTCTGTTGGATGTCTCGCCGAGTGACTCCCATGGTTAGTATGTTGAAGTTGAGCATTCAGTAGCAGTGTTGACAGGTCTAAATGAGATGAAAATGCATGAAAGTTCCCATTCTTGGACTGTGTTTGTGTACACTTGAAGGCACAAAGGCAGACATGCTCTAATAACTCAGAGAGAATTCTAATTACATCCTAGTGTCCCTCGCTCGTCCCAGGATTGACAGCGTGACCTCAAACTGCTGGCTCTTCTGACAATGAGAGCCTGTTAGAGTTGCCTGATGGTTTTATATGCTCCATGCACCAAAAACTCTTCTACATTGTCCGTTTGATGTCTTTGTGTGTGCTCTGCTCGGCAATGTACTATAGGATTGCTTTGTTTCAATGACTGAAGTTTGAGACAGGAAAAAAAAAAAAAGCAACGTTGTCATGGCGCTGGTACGCCCTTTGAGAGGTGAGAGCTGAGCCGTCACTCGGGATTACTTAAATCTCAGCAGGGCTTTGATAAGTGCTGACAGTCCCATATAGCTTTCACAAACTGGAGGAACATACTGGGCAGTACGTTTCCTTTTTCTGCCTTTGGTCTGCGTTTAGACTGACGGGATGGAAACAATTGCAAATGCACTTTTTCTACTTTTGTCCTCAGTTGCTTGGGGGTATATGCTCAGCTTTTGGCTTGAGGTAAAATGTTAAGGGTTAGTGCATGTTTGTGTTTCTTGTTTCAGTTTGCATTCTTAGTGTAGGGACAACAGTTTTATTGTTGCACATATGTACTGTATACAATTTAAACACAGCTTTTTGGTTTTTGCTCCTATTTCTGATGATCTGAACTCAAAGAAGACATTGTTTATGGACACTAAAGGTCTATTTCTCTTCAAATGCGATTATGCCTAATTTTGTGTGACTGCGCACTTCTCTTTTGCCAAGATAATACATCCTTTTTCACAGCTGTGGCATGTCAAAATGCCAGTGAGACAGAATGATTTTTACACAGTGTGATGTGTGCCTTAGTCTGCCCACAATGAAAGGCCACTCTAAAATGTGCAGTTTTTTTTTTTTTTTTTCATAGAGTGCAGTACCACACGTCACAGATTTTGAGGGAGTGTGCAATTAGCATGCTGGTTTGCCAGAATATCCACTTGAGTTGTTGCCCATGAATTACAATATAAGCGATCCCCGAAATACTTAATAATTTGCGACAGAGGCATTGCTCACACAACGGCAGCCAACCTCCAATAGCTTTCCCCATTCAGCTCAAAAGTTTATGCAATTTTTTACTGGGTCATTAGAGATGACATTAAGGACACCGTCCCAAAAACTCAGATTCTGCGATGAACAATGTTAAGGGGGGTATTAAGGCTAATAGTTGCCTGACAACACTTTCTCGCTTTTAAAAAGTATCTCTTGAAAGTCTTACAAAATTGGTCAGTGCAGCAAAACAGACAACTTGCATGCTCGATCCGCTGTTTGAGTTCATCCCATGAGAAATGGGAGCAAAAACAAGAGCAAAAACAAGTGCTACATTTCTATTCTTCTTGATTGTACAATGCCTTTACATTGAGGAGGATTCATGAATGAAGAAAAGCATTTCCATTCATAAAGATCTCTGTGTCCTTCCCAGCATGCATGGCTGTTTTACATGAGCTACAATCTTTGTAGTTTACATTCCTGTAACCAGGTAATGGATTGTGCTAAAAGACACCAAACTGGACTGACAAGGTTTTAGTCCGAGATGCACGCAATGCCCTATAATTTTCCAAGTCTTTGCATGCAAACACCTTTTTTCGGGGATTTTTTTTTTTTTTTTTTTTGCAATTATGGCAAACCTGTTTTCATGAGTTCTGAATAGCATGACTCCACCTCGGCTACAGTCTATTCTGAAGATGATTGTTGAGCGGTAAAATGAGCCGTCGGCGAGCTATTGTTACATCACAATCATTGCATGCAGCCGCTGTGCCACACAACTATGTTGCATGTGGCTTCTCACGAAAGATCATGCAAGGGAGCGGAGAGTATGCAGAGGTAGTACTATATCCATAAATGATCTCTTCGAGGGAGCTATTAAGAGATTGTTGCATCAGATAACCGTTGAGCTTGAGTGGAAATCAAGATTTTACTCCAATTCCTGGAAGAGTACATCACAGTGTGCAGATGTCAAGAGATAAACTAAGAAGCATGAACAAGTGGCGGAGAACTTTCATAAATGCAAACAATGAACATTAGGCAGTGATCCGCTGTAGTCGTGTAAATGAAATGAAATTAAAACTAAAAAATAAAATGAATTAAGAAAGAAGATGAGAGACAAGACATTGTCTTGTAGATTTAGACTGACAAGCTTGGTATTTTTTGACAGCTGTCAATTATGTGAATGTATTCTGCAGATGATTTTTTTTCCAGATACATTATCAGATGTCTCAAATGTTAACAAAGTAAATAAAAAAAGTAAATAAAAGTAGAGTGATATTCAGAACGGCAAACACATCCACTCGCTAGGTTGAACTGTGAACAACTGTGTTGGAAGTGTAGCGCCATACTTGTTTTTCCCCAACAACACTGCAGCAAAAGCATCAGTTTCTGTGATCAGCAGCATGACCCTTTTTTTTAATCATGAAGCCAGCGAATTCTTTGTGCAGCATAAAAACCAGAAGTAGTTCAGTAATTACAAATTTCACTGTCATGGTGTCTCTAGGTACAAGCGACCCAACTTATGAGTTTTGACAGAGCCATTGTTCTGACATTTTTTTTTTGTTTTGTTTTTACATTCAGGAAGAAATTTCACATATGAGTGCTGTATGTTGGCAGTGAACTCAACCCACTTCAGAAAAAGTAGAAGTTTGGCAGTTAGTGAACAAATCTTCCCCCTTGAAAAAAATTCTTCAAGCTGTTTATTGCCACTCCCAGTTGAAATTTACAGTCAAACTGAACCTAAAACAAAGAGGATTACACGTGCATTTAAAACAACCATATACAATAGATTTACCTTGAGTCTGTTTAGCTTAATGCTAGCGACCATTGCAAAACGCCATGAACAGGCTAATGTATAGAACTGTCTATTCCGTGTTGTGAAGCAACACCTGTAGACAGACAATATAAATATACTCACAGGCATTTATTCTCTAGCCTTTGCAAAACATGACAAATAACTCTTTGTCTGTGTGACACTTGTGAGGAGAAAGCAGATTAGAAAATGTAGGGATTCATTTTTGTTTAAAAACACACAAAACAATTCATAAGTAGCCATTCACTTCCAATACAATTCCTCTTTCCGTGTTTGTGCATCAGCTGTACGCTGTGTGTGTTTGTGAGGGCAGGGTTGGGTGCGGTGAGTCTTTCAGTTAATTGTGCGTTAGGTTCGAGTTAGTACATGTTTGAATATTTGCAAACACATTCAAACCAATATGTAACATATGTGCGAACGAATTGCTAAATGCTAACATTTCTTTCCTACAATGCCACAAGGGTACCCCCTGCCATTATGGGAAGAAATGCCAAACGGAAATCATGCACTGCAGACAGTTACTCATAAATAATGTTTGCTTGCTTAATTTTCAAACGTATAGGTATAATGTAGGCTATATGCTCCAAACATAGCATTTGTTTTACTTGCGCATGCGTGAATCGATAATACCCTGTGGCATTATGGGGAAAAATGCTTTTAGCATTTAGCCTAAATTTTATAAATATGTTTGACTATACTTTGTAAACACGTTTCAGTCAAAAATGTTGGCAATTCAATGCTTCCGTATGAACATGCTTGGCATGTGTATCATACTTTTATTGAAAAAAAACGAAA